GGGGGGGGGCGGTTCAGTGGGTGTCCCTTCTCTGCAGGAAGCACGGTCTTCAGTGAGTCCTGCGATTCCTTCCGGGGAGCTACTGAACCCCAAAGTGGTTTGGGGGACCCCCTGCCTTACAAACATGGCAGAAATGAGAGTGGCCGTGGGACGTTCCCTCTGACTTCACAGCTGCTGCTCAGCTCTTCAAAGCTTCAGGAAAACACCAGAGCTCTCCCCTTCCGCCCGCAGCCCCTTTCTCCTGGGCCCCCCGCCCTCCCCCAAGTCCTGGGGACCCTGCCCCATTTCCGGTCTGCCGCTCTGCCTCTGCGACCTTCCCACGTTTCCACCTGCTGCCTCTGCCTAGCTCCACGCCAGCCCCTCCGGTCAGGCCCAGTTGTCACAGCCTCCTAACCGGTGCTCCCGTCTGGTCTCCGAGGACCCACCCCTGGCCCGTCACCAGTGCGAGCTGCCCCACCTGCTGGCCTGGCCCCTCCGGCCCCGCTCCCGGCCTGCCTGCCGTCCGAGCGTGGGGAGCCCTTGGTCTGGCTTGCGCTCGGCCCCCAGGCACCCCCTCCCAGCCTCAGCCGCTCAGCTGCGTAGACAGACGCTCTCCCTTCAGGGTCCCTCTCTCCCTCCCAGCCCGACCCGGGGCTCCTCCAGCCTGCCGGGCTCCGGTGCTCCTCGGGCGACGTGCCGGACACGGTGGTGGCAGGGCGGTGAAACGTTTGACAAAATACGTACAGAAGCCGACTAGTCTCATCTCTCGCTAGTCTTTTCCCACTTCCTTCTTTTTCTAATCAGGCAGGAGGATGCGGAGGAAGATAAACAGTGAGAAGCGATAAGCCGTCTCCAGAATTCATTAGCTGCCTCCTGTCCCCCCGGGGTTGTTGCTGCCTCACGCGCCGGCCCGTAAAGAAGACCCCCCGAGCTGGGCCAAAGCCGGAGAGAGAACGAGTACGTGCCAGCCTCAGAAATCACGCGTGCGGCACCCCTAACACAGGCAGACCGTAACGAGTGTGCCTTCTGGAGTCATGGGCCTCACAGAGCAGGTCAAGTCTCTGTCGGGCTCGCTGGCTGGCCCCTCCCAGGGAGAGCCAGCCTCACGAGGGTGATCTTCCGGAGAACCTGCCTGTGCAGCTTGAGAACTTTCTAGAAGGACAGAAGCTGGTGTTTGTGGTGGGGATGGGGGGCGAGGGGATGATACAGCAGCCAGAACGCATTCCTGACCTGGCCACAGGTGACAGACTATTTCTCCGAAAGCCTGTCGGCTCCCTCGGTGGGCAGAGCCCCCCAGCACAAAGACCCGCGGGCTGAGGCCTCCTGCAGCAGGGCCTTCCTTCCCAGGCAGGGACGGTCCTGGCGGGGAGGGGGCGGCGGCAGGGCAGGGAACAAACCCCACGGGGTTCTGCAGGCCACAGGAGGCGAGGAGGCTCCCCTGAACACCTCCCCTTCTGGCCAGCCCTGGTCCCCCTTCTTCCTCCCCCTCCCTCCCTCCCTCCCCCCTCAC